AGGTTCTATTCCTGTTATCTTTCCGGCCATCAGCTATTAGTGTGCAACCTATTTCTGACCAAGATCGTTTGTATGAATCAATCAACAACCTGCATTCCTCTTTACAATCTCGTAGCAGATTAACTCTCAATTTGTAGTATGAAGGCAATTTGTATCCAGGTCCAATTGCAGCTATAGCATCAATTGCCTTTTGAGCAAAATTAGAGTTTATGGCATTCAATGGAATGCAACTATCATAAAACCACCGTGCAACAACTAAATCAGCACGGTGAATGGCTTCTTTGGATGCCATTACACTTTTCAATGATGGCTAAGAACATGCTCTAGTTCTTGGTGCAAAAAAATTGTCTATGTTATCTAGCTTTCTCTTCCCTCTATTAGTGCCTTCATGGTGTGCATCAGAGGATTGTGATTTGGGAAGTGATGAAGAGCCTCTTCCTTCTTCCATATTTTCATCCACAAACACAGCTGTGTTCTGCTCTAACTCCTCTTGGGCTTGTTGTTTTTTCTTCCCTATTTCATTCAAATTTTCTTGCATCTGGTAACGAACGTCATGTGGGACTTTCTTGCACGAAGCTATGTTACCTCTGATTCCTGCTAAATGTTGTTTAATCCTGTTAATTCCTCCACCTTTATAAGTAGTCCCACAATGGAGGCATCTAAATTGTTTTTTTCCATCTAGTCCTTTACTTTCCGTACAATGACTCCAAGCTCTATCAAGCTTCTCACGCGCACTTTGAGTCGAAGTTGTTTGTGGATCCATTTTAGAGTACTGTGTTCAATAGCTAAAATAATAAAATCAAAAAATAAAGAAAGCAACATGAAAAACATACCCATTATCTCATCTCCAGTTAGCTTAACCAAAAATAAGTAAGAACTAACATTCAGGAATCATTTTTTCATCTCGCCCAAATGCCCAAAGTGGATGTTGGATATGAAGGATCAAATAAAACTATGCATAGTACATCCACTCAAGTGTCATAAATTCGGAAATTCCTAAATCCTAATACAGAGGAATTTTCAATTTTGATTTTCAGAAAGCCCAATCAGTGCCATTCAAAAATTTCCATATATTTTTTTTAAAGAAGAAGGAACTAAGCAATGGAAGATAAAGGTTTATTCTGGAGTTATTCACAAATAAGCAATGAAAGGTGTTAAAAAAAATCAGCAATACATGTTTTAGCAAAACACGATCCAAAATCTAGAGGAAAAAAAAAAGCCCTAACATGTGAGTTGAAACTTGAAATAGAAAAGTGCCATAAACCAAATTCTTGAGTGAAAAAAAAATGTCATTCAGAAAGCCCAGTCAGTGCCGACCACCGAATGCAAATCCATGTGCCGACCACCGAATGCAATGAGGAGAAATTGAAAAACTTACTATGGGTTGGAGAGGAGATCTTGACCAAGCAAAGGATGCCTTCAGTCGCTTCGGCGCTTCGCAAATGGCAATGCCGACGGCGTCGCGACAGGCTGGAGGGAGGAAGAGTCGCGACTCACGACTCGAGAGTAGCGAACTGGGAAATGAAACGATGAATAAGGTTTCTCGTTTTCTCTTTTTTATTAACCTTGTATAATCTCTGCCATCGGATTAAATCAGACGGCTCAAAATCGCTATAGTTCAAACCGGCCGGTTACTAAAACGGGTCCCGGTTCATCGGTTTGGCGGTCGAACCGGCGGTTCGAACGGTCCAAATCTGGTTCTCGTCGAAAGCGGTTTTTAGCCAGACCGTAACCGGCCGGCCGGCCAGTTCACGGTTCAACCGGTTGAACCGGCCGGTCCGGTCCGGTTTTGAAATCCTTGCTTTTATGTGCTCTGATGCATACTAGAATCCTGACTTCCTTCCATCCCGCCAAAAAGTTCATCCTGGGGTTTATGCTCATCCTTCTTTCGTCGAATGGATTAACCTCCGCATCTATGGGATCAGTGGGATCCGTGGGTCACCTTGTTACTAAGAAGAATATGCTTATCAATCATCAGGTACTCCTATGTACCTGCCTCGTACCGAAGAAATCCTCCCTTCAAATGAAGTTATAAAGGTGCGTCAGCATTTTCCAATAGAGTTTTGAGGTTTGTTGGAACTCTGGGAAAGCCATTATTAATATTTACATATGCCTAGTGAGCGCTGCTCATTTTTCTTTTCTTTTGATTTCTGGGCGAGCTCCACGAATTCTGTTCAATTATTGAACTAGACTTGTAAGCTTCCAACAGACCATACGGAAAGTTGAAGTATGGCTGCAAGCCATTAGCGGAGATTGAGCGTACATATCACAATATGCCAATAAAGCTTTATTGAGCTAAGTTCCCAGAAAACTCATCGATAATTTGCAACAACTAAAACCCCTGCGAGAATTCGCAGCTGAAGGAAGATCAATGTCCACTCCAAAAAAAGGATCAGACAAATAGCAACAGCATTATTCACCCACAACTCAAACAAAATATACGAGACTTCCCCGCTCCATACCAATATGATGGAAGAACCACTGGAACAAAAGCTAGCACCACGCCCTCCTGAGCGAAAAGAGAAGTCGTCCATATCCTGTTGGGATGCTTTCCGCGTATATGCCAGAAAGAACAATAGCGGCTGCTATTGTAGATTCCAATAAAGCACGAGCAAAGTCATGCAAGCAAAGCTGAACACCTCGCGTACGCTTTTCAACCTTTATACATATTGATTGAGTCCCACATTGGGGTGAAAAAAATTCCTGAAAGATGGAAGATTGTACCAGATTCATCATAAAAAGAGCACCCATCGTACCGAGAACTAAGATATCATCAGGTTCGGGTTCGACTAAAAATGGACCAAATTGATTTTTTCACGCAAAAGGAGTAACTTGACAGGAGAAAAAGCACAACACCACCACCTTAAACAAGGGCCGCAGGCAAAAGGGAAATTCACCGTTTGCCCGAGAAGAAAAAAAAAACAACTCGGACAAGAAACCAATAGAAGAGCACCCAAAGAAGCGTATCACGACGAGGACAGAAAAGGGAAGTCGGTTGCAAGGGCGTGAACCCGAATGAAGCAAAGGCGCTAGATAGCATCAAAATTTTGGTCAAATCACAACCTTACCAGAGAGGGGCCTCAGAGGAGGCTGAAAAAGGAAAGGCTGCGAAGCAAATAGATGTTTATTTATGATAAAAGGACCGGGAATTCGTATGAATCGTGCGAATTTCTCTTTTCCCGTTTCAAACTGCTAAGAGATAGGAAAGATTCCAATAGTAATGATAGAGAACCAATTGGACTGAGCAAGGGACCGGATTTTTTGTTGGAAGAACCTTGGAGAACTGGGATTGATGACTTGGTACTACTTCCTTTCCTGATGTCGAGAGTGTGATATCCTTGTTCTATTGGTTTAAGGATAATTCCTTTAAGAAGTCAGAAAGTAGAATGCTGACGCTAAGCTAAAATACACATTTATGCCTATAATTTGAAACTAAACTAATCATTTGAAATCACATCTGACAGTTTTGATGGAGAAAGTGACATAGTAAATAATCCTTGTAAAAAAAGAAAATGGTACAAAAATTGTTAACAGTATACAAATATCAGTTTCTTAAACCTGCTTCCATCGCAGAACAATGGTCTTAACTCTTATGAAACTAGCATACACTCACATGTAACAATTTTCAGCACATGAACAACCTAAATTTGCACTGACATCGTCAATTCGGTACTTATTCAAAATGCTAAAACTTTATAAGCATACAAACAGAGAATATTTCATATTTCACCATAAGAATCATATGCTTAATCTTCAAAAAACTAGTGTTCAATTCTAAAATCCAATTATACTTTATCTTCATGGGTACCTTTCGAATAAGATTAGAGGATTCCAAATTTTCCTAAATTATTCATGCAGAAGAATCCATAATTTTCTAAAATGCAATGTAGCTCCCCAACCGCTAGTAATGACACAATACTTTAATCTAATCACAAACAATTGACCTTCATAATGATTCAAAAGACTCTGGTAGACACGCTACCAAGAAGTAGCCCTCAACCTTCATGCTATCATTTTTCACATCTTTCCACTCTCAACCAAAGCACAAAAATAAAATAGATCTAAATCAAAGCATTAAAAACTAGCCTCTAAAGGCGAATGAAACTCTACTGAAAAAATCAGAATTCAACCGACTGACACAATAACCACTGCATATCTTTCTGCTAAACGAACACATCAAAAACCCCAAAGAACCCCTTGCTCACTAACATAACAATACCAGAAATCATAAAATTGCAGAAGATGTGTTTTGAAAGAGGAATAGCGGAGGTACCTGTTATAGTTCCATGAACCACGGTGCCGTTCTTGAGTTCAATCGAGACAGTCTCATTGTTGAGCTTCATTAAAAATCTAAAAAGAAAAAGCAGAGCCCCATCGATCAGCAGTTGAAAATAAGGAAAACAGAGGGGTTAGAGAGCCGGTAATACAAGAGAGATAAACCTGACGAGCTTCATTCTCGCGAGTGCTAGGCGGCGCTAGGGTTCCGATCCGACTTTCGCAAACGAAAGAGCAAAACCGTTCCCAAGCACGGTTCGCCCGAGCTCCAAACCTTGCCGTCCAGGCTCACTTATCATGCACTCGACACTTTATGATGCACGCACAGAACACGTAAGGCTTGTGCCCTCGTCTATCTTAATATTTTTAGGATAAAGGTGAATGACGAAGCAACTAGGAAATCAAATATTAATGTAAATTTTTTATTTAAATAAATAATTGAAATATATTGTTAATAATAGATTAATTTAAATAATTCTATTAATTTTTTTATAAAATTATATAATATATTATATATTTGGTAGGTGGATTTATATATGTATGTATACCTCATAGAATTCATTTGCATTTGCAATTTGAGTATCTAATTCTTTACATTTACCTATATAATATCAATTAGTTAAATCACAATACAATTTAAGCAATAAAAGATATATTCCACTTGAAAATTTTGACTTTATATATCTAATAATATATGCAATTAACTAAATATCTCTGCTACTTATTTCCTTAGAAAATTAGGTCTGAAAGTTTGCTTTAGATGAGTATTCCTTTTTATAGTTTCAAACTATTTATAGGAGTTCATTGTGAATGAAATTAATTCAAATACCCACCGAGGCTTAGGATGGTTGGTGGGCGAACACGGTTGGGAACCCCCAATCCAGGGTTTGAATCCCCTCTACGACGGTCTCGCCTCTTCAATTGGGCAAAGCAAATGTTGACCTAATGCCGGTGGGTGGGATCGCTAGGTTCCGCCGAGGAATTAGTTACACAATTAGTTAAATCACAATACAATTTAAGCAATAAAAGATATATTCCACTTGAAAATTTTGACTTTATCTATCTAATAATATATGCAATTAACTAAATATCTCTGCTATTTATTTTCTTAGAAAATTAGGTCTGAAAGTTTGATTTAGATGAGTATTCCTTTTTATAGTTTCAAACTATTTATAGAAGTTCATTGTGAATGAAATTAATTCAAATACCCGCTAAGGTTTAGGTTGGTTGGTGGGCGAACATGGTTGGTAACCCCCAATCTAGGATTTGAATCCCCTCTATTATGGCCTCGCCTCTTCAATTGGGCAAAGCAAGTGTTGACCCGATGCCGGTGGGTGGCATCGCTAGGTTCCGCCGAGAAATTTGTTACACAGTCAAGCACTCTCTTTGAAGTGACAGCGGGTAACTACCCCCGTTCCAAAAAAAAATCATTCAAATTGGTTTGAATTCGATCATTTATTCGGACATGAGTTATTCAATGGATTGTTTTGAGGACTTCAGCTAAAATAACTAAAATTTCACTTAAGAAAATCATACATAAACCCACATTTATCACATGAAGAGCGATTTATGATTTGATTTAAAATTGGAGATAGTTTGAAGATCTAATAAACTCTAAATATCTACCTGATATTTGACACTAACGATCACCATTGGAAGCCATAATCACCCTACTATTATTGCCTAATTTTCATTGTTGACCACCATTATCTAACTATAATCTCAAAATTAGTGGCACTTAATTATTGTCGCTCATTATTGTCAACAATGTCAATGCATGATATCATCTAGCTATAAAGTCCATAATTACTATCAATACAAAATATCAATACTTAATAGCTTCATCATCAAAGCATAAATGAACGTCAATGTATATATGGCTGATGCACTCTCACTACCTTCATTACCTGCCAAACTCATGTCAACTAAAGTTAGAGGTGTCAATATTTGAACCGACCCAAAAATCCGACCCGAACCCGAACCGGGTCGGCTTCGTGTTAGGGATTTTGACCCGTTTGTAAAACTGGGTCAGGTTCGGGTTGACCCGGAAACCCAAAATCAACCCGGGTTGACCCGTTTTTAATTAAGTTAGGAGGATTTTGAAGGATTTTTATGAAATAAGTAAATGATATTTCAAAAAATTATAAACATTGTTGTCCAAATTAAATTAATTTTAATTTATTTTAAATTAATTGAAGTAAATCTTACCTTAATTTGATTTATATTTAAATAAATTAAATTAAATAAAAAAATTTAATAAAATATACCTGAAACGGGTCGGGTTCGGGTTGACCCGAACCCGAAGCGGGTCGGGATCGAGTTCAGAAAACCGACCCGTCTGTAAAAACTGGTCGGGTTGAACAGTGTCGGGTCAATTTCGAGTTGGACCTGAACCGGACCCGTGACCCATTTTTGACAGCTCTAACTAAAGTTTTATAGATATTTTAATGATTCATAAAATCAGAATAATCTGTGAAATTTTTACTATTTAATTTTGTGTACAACAAATAGATTTAAGTTTGGGCATTGAACATTAAAAAATATGTTTACATAACGAATTATAAAAAGATTTATATCATATATCGTGACACATTTAATTATTCATCCCCATCCTTTATAATTGTGAAAAGCTATATTTAAATGTGTCATTTGTGTATATGTTTAATTTATTTATGAAAAATATTAAATTTTGAAAGATATTTAAATCAAACTTAAATATTATTTATGTTATTTAGTTTTTAATGGCCTGTTTACATGATTCCCAATTAATAAAATGCAAATTTTGATAGCAAACTAAGGAAAATGTGGGTCAAATATATTTTGATCATATTTCTAAATAGATGTTGTCGATTCAGCTTTCTATTCTTCTTTACATATACTCTGTTTTATCGATGTTTAATACTATGCATTTGATGTAGTGCTATAAAAGCTACTCATCTTCACATGGTATTAGAGTCAATTAGCTCACAACTAGTACCTCCTAAATGGCTTCATATCTCTCCTCTCAAACCGGTGAGTCCTTTATAGATAACCCCTCGAATAGCCCTCATATTTCTCCTCCATGAAATTTCTTATTTCCAACATCAAAATCATCGTTCATATCTCACTATCAAATGACAACTATCCAACCTGGAAATCTCAAATCCTAAAGTTGTTTGATGCTAACAACTACGCCTCTTTTCTCGACAAAACTACAGTAGCTCCTCCTCGACTAATCGTCCAGTAAAGCGGTACCTCGACCTAACCAGACCTTTAACCAGTGGACACTCATCGACCAGAACCTTGCCACAAACATATGCTCCACACTATCCCCAACAATTCTCTCATACATTCTCAACCTCAACACCTGCTCCACATTTGAGTCACCTTAGAACGTTGTTCGTAAGCAATAAATCATTCAGGAGTAATACACTCAAGAACCAACCCCACAAGATTTCCATAGGCCAGTCGACCATGCTTCAATACCTCACAATCGTCAAAACCTTAGTCGACATCATTGCCGTCGATGGCTCCGCCATTGAGTCATAAGACATCCTTTTGTAGACACTCAACAGCTTACCTCCTAAATACCAGTCATTCAAGACTTATATCCGCACTATGCTGACTCCCATTAGCCTCGAGGACCTCTACTAACTTCTTGTTATTGAAGAAATAAATATTTCAATCGAATCAACAAAGGAATATGCCAATCTGAACATTCATGCGGTAGTCTACCCTGCCCTAGGCTGTGGCAGAGGCCGCATATGCCTCACCAACAACTCCGACAAAGGTCGATTCAATAAATCCAACTCTTCAAGACGACCGACATCATACAACTAACCCACCTCTCCAATAACCACTTGTCAAATTTGCCCAAACACGGCCACACAGCCAATGTGTGTTAGCATCGTCTTAACCTTGAACACCCAACTCTTCACCAAGCCTCAACAAACTTTAGTCACCTCCAACTCGAAAACCAACTCGGAATGGATACTTGACTTGGGCGCATCATCTCATCTAACCAACAACATTGATGACCTCTTCCAACCCGTGGAATACAAACAGTTTGATTTGTTGAAATAAGAATTAAGAGTAAAAGAATAAAATATATTTAAAATATAGAGTTTTGGAAGTATTTTAGAATTATTTGTTTGGTATAAATAAATATAATATATTATTTTTCTAGAATGTTTAATTAGAAGTAAAATGAATAAAATATAAAATATGATGAGACGAGTAGTGGGAGGTGGTTGGTAGTGGCAGAGCGAGGAATTTTTATAAGGTCCGGACACCTGACGTAGCTCTACATCTATACGCCAATAAAATATCGCCACGTGCTCTTACTTTTTACCGCGCGGCCCGACGACCCGATCCGGAACGAAAACCCGGTATTGCTATGTTTGTGTATTGCTAGGTATTGCTCGGTATTGCTAGGTATTGCTTGGCAAAAACGACAAATACCGCTATTTCAAGACCAATACCAAGCAATACCTAGCAAAACCGGGGTATTGCTCGGTATTGCTCGGTATTGTTAGGTATTGATCTGGACAGAATGGTATTTCTCGTTACCAAGCAATACTGAGCAAAATCTAGCAATACACTGGTCTGTACAAATCAGCTAATACATAGCAATATTGGATTCCGGTATGGGTCGGGTCGTCGGACCGCGCGGTAAAGAGTAAGAGCACGTGGCGATATTTTATTGGCATCCGGATGTAGAACTACGTCAGATGTCCGGACCTAATAAAAATTCCAAAGCGAGGGTGGGGGCACGATCCCCTTTGGCTTTTGGAAACCAATGCCTTAATCCATAGCCATAGGCAAGACTTTGACCGTAGCTTTTTGAAGATGATGTATAAACCAGTAGTAGGTTTTAGGAATTAAATTTGATTTTGTTTATTTCAGTTTAAAATTTTCTTTTATTTATTTTAAATATTTTTTAATTTAACAATTTTCTATTTTTTTAGCAAGCTTAAAGAAAGAACTGAAAAAATTCAAACGACCTTATTGTTGACAATTTATTTAAGTTTAAATAGTTCTAAGATTTTCATATACTTTGTATTCAATATAACAAATTTTAATTTTTACTTTTTATAATTAAAATCTTTAATTTGTCTAATTAGTCTCCATCATTTTGTAAGGATTTTAGAAAATAATTATTATAATTCACTGCCTGCGAAACCCTACATCAAAGTCTTTATTATTTTATTGTCTATGAGATGATTAAAAGCTCACAGTATTTTGAAGATCTAATAATTGTGCCCCACAAGAAAAAAATTTTGGCTCCGCCCTAATGACAACTATAGAGGCAGATGATGACAAGCGAGAGGAACTTTTATTTCGTC